AAGGGTCTGGTATTGTTTGGGAGGGGGAACTGCACGCTTTTTTTTTTTCTTTTTTCGTCATGATGTGAAATGTCAGTTTTGCTGCAGCAGGTTCTATACATCGTACAGATTTGCAACTTTACAGGCAGGTTAAGGGGACCCCCAGGCATGATATTTAAAGGAATTTTTCATTTTTATTGTTTCACTTTAAGTCATGTTAAAATCACTTCTCCTTTAAAAATGGTATTTTTTAAAAGTGTTTTTAAAAAAAAATTAATTCCTGTCCCCCAGAGCAGTACCTGGACCCCCATACATGTCCCCCAGAGCAGTCCCTGGACCCCCATACATGTCCCCCAGAGCAGTCCCTGGACCCCCATACATGTCCCCCAGAGCAGTACCTGGACCCCCATACATGTCCCCCAGAGCAGTACCCGGACACCCATACATGTCCCCCAGGGCAGTACCTGGACCCCCAAACACCTTTTATGGTCAATAACTTTCATATAAGCCTTTATAATGAGGACAACTGATTTTCAAAGTCCTAGACTTTCATTGAGCTGGAGTTCGAATTCGAAAAGAGGGGTGTTCGGCCCATCACTATATGTGCTTTGCTGTGCTGTGCTCAGGTGAACACTAGAGGGCAGTATTGATACACAGCAGCACATTGTGTCCTATGACAATGGAATCAGTTACAGGATGAAGGTACATTCAGGAGACATCACATGACTTATTATTATCCACAAATTCATCCTAAAAGAAGTTTGCAGATCCACCTCTGTACCTTTCCTCTGCTTCTTCCTGAAACATAGGAACACACCTGCTATGTATATAGAATCTTGCTGTCTAAATGTGTTGGCTGATCTGAGCCATTGTAGAGGATTTTTTTGTAACCTTTTTTTCCCCTCCTTTGTTCCATCGCAGTGCTGCTGCATTCTCTCTGCCACCACTTCCTGTCTACATACGGCACAGCAATGGCCGCATGGCATCTCTCAGGGCGGGTTTCCTGATGGTGACTACAGAGGACCATGTCTGCGTAATGTGTGTTACAATGCCCACTTGTAGTCTCCATCAGATGTGACATGCGAAGCCACATTGCCACATAAAGGCATCTCTGTACAGTGCGGTCCCTAAGGCCTCATTCACACTGAGCGACATGAAAATCGCGCGATAAATCGCTCAGTGTGAACGGGGCCTAACACTAAACTAAGTTCCCAACTTTGGAACATACTGTACGTAGCAATGCCCAGACCGAGAGCAAGGTGACAACAGCAGACCATGTCTGGCCACTTGTAGTTGCCATTGGAAGCCCGTGTGACAACACAGATCAATGTAGGTGCCACATGCACCATACAGCGCTATGGCCAAAGTAGGGTGGTGCTAGTGGTGTCTGATGGTGCCGGGTTACAGGCCAAAGAAAAGTCACCGGCACTCAATCCTTCAGGATGCAAATATAATCTTGTTCATTGTAAGCACGTCACATATTCACTGTACACCCCTTTCCTCTCCTACATCCCCTGCTCCCCCTTCCCTGTACACCCCCTTCCTCTTCTACATCCCCCTGCACCCCCGATTTCCCTACACCCGCTGAACACTCTTTCTCCTATACTGCTGGTTTCTGCTACATCCCCTACACCTCGTTACCCTGCACCCCTGCTTCCCCTACATCCTCTGCACCCCCTATTTCCTGGCACGCCCCTTAACCTGCACCCCTGCATCCTTTGCAACCCTTCAGTTCTCTCGCTGCATTTAGCCACGATTTCTCTCAGTTGTTGGGGGAGATGAAAACTAAATAAGAGGTTATCCCATCCTGAGGCTCGGTTGTTGCTTCTCTCACCCTTCTCTCATCTCTGCACCGGCCCAGAAAACTGATCTGTGAATTTCATCTCCTATGAATATCTAATAAAAGACAAGAAATAAAGATTACAAGTTGTTAATAAAGGAAATAAAAACACTCGCTTGTCATTCTTCTGTTCTTTGCTTTTCTGTCTTTTGT